GCTTTGAGTTAACTCCCCTCGGCACTCCAGTGTGTCAGCTGCAGTGGCTTGACCTCTCAAAGAAAGCTGCTATATTAGTAACTAAACTGATCAACTTGCACTAAAGTACACGAGAAGCACTCACAGAGCATACTGTGCTAGCTAAATCACAGGGTAACATCATTGCTATGGTCAATAGCAAACAGCCAGGGGACAGAAGCCTCTTGAATTCACACTGCTATTTCTGTGGATGAATATCCAACCATTGTTGTACAGCCCCACAATTTTTTCTCCACTAAAATATACATCTATGACAGCTAGGTATCCCATCTTGATATAAAATCTTTGGATATATATCCTACATGAAAGAGACAAAAAACAAGTTTTTACATTTGATACATCAATTTAAACATCGAATATCTTCACGTGACTACTGGAGAGGCAATTAGGATAAACAGAGATATAAATGCCTACAATGAGCGATCTTTTATCTTTGCTGCATAGGTGACCTAACACTGGTGACACAGAAGATTTAATATAGTGCCCGGCCAAGGAAAGGAATTTTGCACAATATTAGATGACAAAGTTGTTCCATTGTTTAAGTACCACAGGCATTATTAGACTGTCATGAGACTGGGGTACAAGCTCATAGACTGTAACTCTCACACCTGTCTTTGAACAAGGTTGCCTGTCTAATTATGTATGTGAAGTATGTCTGCCTGTAAACACCATATTTTTGCAGCTGAATTTTGATTTAAAAATTCCTCCCAGCCGTCAGAGCAGACACAGCAGTCTTCGCTGCATACACAGCTTGAAGTAAGACTTGATTCCACCTGGACTGATTGCATTTCAGTATCAGGGGAGGAGTACGGACACATTTACAAGATCTGTTCTACCATTTTTCATCATTCTGCTGAGCATCTAAACCCAAGGCAACATTGGAGTGCAGATCAAAGAGGACAGAGCCCACTTAGAGATGTGAATTTATTTCTCTTTATAATTTAAACATCCATTACTTAGGGTCTCTGCATAACCAATTTATTAATGTTTTTCAGATGTTCTTCTCTAATTCATCAGATTCTACTTTCTGCTGTTAAAATCCTGATAAAGTTAGATCAATATGGAAAGACAGTTTGTTCAACTGCAGTGTTCAAGGAAGAGTACATAATGCCAATGGTTTGAACCCAGATAAAGTAACAGTTCTCCTCTGTCTAGATTTCCAATGGGTGCATTCAGATTATAAATCATTAAAATAAAGAAATTATGGGCAACTACGTCTAATTCTCTTTTAAGAAATTTGGAATATCAAGAGCAGATTAAGGAACCAAGGGGATGAATTTTAAAAATAGCATAGGCAATTCTACCACATCTCACTGCCTTGCAGCTCCACCTACAGAGAGGCCTTCAGAACTGCCAAAACTCGGGAAACGCCGAGTTCGCTGGCCAAACAAATCGTGGTTCAGTGATTAACACACACTGGAAACTGAGAGTTCGACAGCCCTGAAGCCTGAAAAAATCTTCTGCTACATGATAAAGGCAAGAATATGGTCTGTTTTTCCAAGAGCCCCTAAATTCCCGTGCAGAAAATGCACCTCTAGCAATGAAAGAGCTAACCCAGCCACTTTGCTGATTTTTTTTCTATAGAAACTTTCCTGCAGAAGAACTTTTCTGGCAGCCAGGTGTCCCAGTTGCAAAAAGATGGTGGGATTTTCCAGGGCAAAATGAACTTAATGGTCCATTAATCCTACCTTTGGCACAAGCTGATTGTTCAGTCTTCAAAAGACCACAATATTTCACCTCCTCCATGTATCTACTCAATTACACAAGATAAAATGTTGTGGAGATTGACCTTCATCTGATCACTGAAGCATAAGGTCTGTTTGCCCTTGACTTAGCCTGGATAGCTAAACAGTGGTGATACAGGGACTGGACTGCGAGAAAGGACTTTGCAAGCACAGTTTAAAAGCTGGCTTTTGAAATATGGCTCTGATTATCTTTCCATTTAAAAAAGGGAAAAAAAAAAAAAAAAAAAAAAAAAGAAAAGCTTAGCTATTCACCTAAAAATAGAATGTTCTTCTCAAATATGAGGTATTGTTGTATTCCTCCAGAAGCCTGATGAATATGCCATGGTAGTAACTGGAAAGTTTTCATCATTTTGGACCAGGCCCTGGCTGTGGGAGGCAGTGGGTGCAGGAATGTGCGAGTGCAGGCAGCATTGCTCTCTCATTGCTCATTAAGAACAGCAGAAAATAACAGGCATGAAAAAGCAGATAAAATGGCAAAGGAAGACACTGGCTCCAAGCCTACAGCAGTGAGCTTTAGCACCAAGAAGCGACAGCCCAAAATATTAACAGTATATCCTTAGAAAGCTATATTTAGGGATATGTGCTGTCTCAGGAAGGGGAAATATGATCCTTTTTATGAACGGATTGAGTGCTACCTTATAATGTGTTTGTTTGTCCTTGCCATGCCTGTAGGAAAGATATACCAGGACCTCTTTCCTCTGATGGTTAAACATTTTCTTCTAATTTCCAGCCTACTTTTATTCATTACCAAACAGAATAGAACTACTACCTTTTCTCTGCTTAGAAAACTAGTTACCTTACAAAGTCATCAGGTCAGTCTAACACTATCCACCTTCAGTAAATGTATGTTGTATTTTAGCCTGTTTCTATCTGCCATCATGTCTGATATTATTCTTTCCTGCTATATTTATCCAAAAGTCTTGTATTTTATTTGGATCGGACTTCAATAATTTTTCCTCTTTTTAAATGCTGAAACATTTTTTTCTGCTCTCAAATTGTATTGTGTTGCTCCTGCAGTGATGCTGTTACACAGCCAGATATAATCTTGATAGACCAGGGCTATTAGGTGTCTGGGTCAGAAATTAGAATATTTCCGTTGAAAGGGACCTATAGTAATCATCTAGTCCAAATTATCATCGCACTATGATCTTTATGATTTGTCCCACTTGGATGAGATAATTTCTATCTCCATGCATTCATTTCCTCTGTGTACATTTCCACTATATATTATGCATTCATTTGTGTCCTGCCTCTCCCCCTTTCATCACCTCTACCTCTTCTCTCCTTCATCTCCTGGTATGTATGCCTGAAGAACATTTTGCTACTTGTTTTAATTTCCTTTTCGAGGTCTAACTCGGCTTTACTTCTGGCACGTTTCCCTTTATGCCTACACTTCCTAACTTCTAAATGTAGTTTTCTTTGATTAATCCTTTTTTTTCCATTCCTTCTACTCCCTTTGCTTATTCCTAATATCCACTTTGAAGTGGTTATTCATCAAGTTAGGTCTGGACCCCTTCCTTGCAGAGTTTTATCGCTCTGTGTACAAGTTCCAAATAATTTTTATAGCCTCTGCTTAAATTCCAAGCCTCCCCAACATTCAAACCTTTTTCAGCTGTCAAAAATCAAGAAGCAAAAGATGTTAATTGCTGGTGTGTACCAACTTCCAGCACATTAGGCTTCCCAATGGGTTCATGTTCACCATCCCACCGTGTGAGCTATTCCAAACGGTTTTCCCTGTGCACACATCCAAAGCTAAAAGATCATGGGGAGACCGCCAATGTCAGGAGAAATTCCTCTCAACCTACAGCCTCAGCAGCAGTGCCAAGTGAAGGATGGAAGGTCATTAGCTGAAACTGTTCTCATAGAATAAAAAATTGTTACAGTAGATTAAAAATTAGCATGAAGAAATGAAGTATGTACATATATTTTTAAAGCCTCTGTCAAGCAGCCAAAATGAAAACAGATTTCACCAGACCACGAAAAATGAAATGCGTGTGTTAGTCCTTGTATGACTGGAGCTTATTTCCTTGCTAAATTCCAAGTTTCAGGTCTCTCCCACTGTGGCAGAAGTGCTGCTTAAGAAAATTCACCAAATGTCTTACAATAGCAAAAGAACACTTCTTTCTATTTCTCACTGTACAAGTTTGCCCTGGCGGTTAGATAAAACAAGGTAATGTTTCCAGAAAATGTGTTTGTGATTATGGTCACTCTTCTTACCATATGCGTAAATATTATTTGTTGGGGGTGGGGTGTGTGTATTTGAGTGTTTAAGCTAGGGAATCTCCCAGCGGCCAGCGTGCAGCAGCTGCCCTGGCCACTGCCATTTTCACAAGGGACACATCAGGCGTCCCTCAGGGTGCAGGCACAAGGTGCAGACCTGGCAGGGGGTGCACAGGAGGGAGCCCAAACCCCACCTCGTGCCACATTGGCCCTGCACATGGGGGAGCCAGGCCAGCCTGACAGAGCAGCAGGGAAGAAAAAAATCATTTCAGTCTGACTTATTAAAAAGCCTCTTCAGAAAGTCGAACTCAGTATTTTGTAGTTTTAAATGGCTTGCTCATTTTCAGGGAAATATTCTGATTTTTGAATGGTCAGATCCAGCAAAAAGAGCTGTGCAAGGTTTGTTTTTTTTTTTTTTGGGAAGCAGAAAATTCAGTGAAAGGAAATTGGAGGGAAGTTTGGAGGGATTCAGAATAAAAAAAAAAAAAAAAAAAAAAAAAAAAAAAAGGTAAATGGGAAATGAGAAGCCGTCAAACCAAAATGGTCATACTACAGTATTTTGCTTTGCTAAAACTTGTGCCTTTTGAGGATGAATGAGAAGGAGCATGTTCACTAAAAAAGCGATGGAAATGTTAGCACTTCTTCGCACAAAGCCATTTTGCCAAGTTTCCACGCCGAGGCTCAAGCCCAGCCACCAGCAAGGGAGGCCGGGGACAATGATGGCAACACGGAGGCTACCATTTCTCCTAGGCCCACACCTGGCTCTCCTCATGGGCAACCCCCATACGGCACTAACGCCCCCCATATCTGCCCCGCCGAGGCCCGAAGCGGCACTGGACTGCGGTCTGTCAGCCCTCAGGGGCTTTCGCAGCCGTTTGTGTTGGCTGGGGAGGGGCCTGGCTGCCCCCCGGCCCCAGGAGGGGCCGGAACGTTGGTGCGGCGGGCGGCGGGCCCGGGTCGGAAGAGCGCTGAGCGATGCACAACGCGGAAGTGAGCCGGGCCGCTGCTGGGGCGGCAGGCGGATCCGGGGGGGATGGAGGGGAGCGGCGGCCGGGGGGGCCCGGCAATGGGCGACTCCGCCCGGGCCCTCTGAGCGGCCAGCGGGGGCTGCCGGGGCCGGCCGCCGTCCCTGCCCGCGGGCCCCGGGCTGAGCTAGGGCCGAGGGCCCGGCAGCGAGGCGCTGAGCGGCCCCGGGGAGGTAGGCCATGGCCACCCGGCGTCTAACGGACGCGTTCTTGTTGTTGCGGAACAACGCGGTGCAGAGCCGGCAGCTGCTGGCCGAGCAAGTGAGTAGTTACGGCTCCTCCAGCCCTCTGAGTTCACGTAGCATGGCTGCTGCGGTGAGTCTCCTCCCTTCATCCTACCGTACCCCGCCGCGCCTAGGGCTGCCCGCCAGCCCTGCTGTGTGCCCGCTCCTCCCGTCTGCCCCCCTAACCCCCCTAGCTCCCCTTCTGTCAGCCCTGTCCCCAAAACCCCACCGGCCTCTGTACCTTCCCCCCTCTGCCTCTCCCTTCCCGCCCCGTTGATCCCTTTTTCCTACTACCTCACGTAAAACGAATAGAAGAGATCTGTCTTGTTGCTGATCATGTCTCTATTCACTTCATTAATAGTAAATACAGTTCTGAAAATTTAATGTTAGCACTGGCATGAGGTTTTTCGTACATTGTGCTTTTTGACGCCTCCTAACGCCCCCCTCCCCCCTCCCAAAAAAAAATCCGAGTTATTTCATAGAGCAGAACTCTTCTATTCACTTCAATGTGGGCACTGTTAAATACACTAGTGTAGATTATTCCCATTGCTTGAATTTTTCCATAGTTTGTTCTGATGTCCATCACCACCCTTATTCCCCCCCCCCCCCCCCAAAATACAAATAATACTGAAAGTCTTCTGTCAGAGAGAGGAGTCAGTGGATTCTAGTGTAAGTCCTCATTACAGAATCTTCAAGAAGTCATTTTTTCAGAGGCAGTTTATGCAGCTCTTTCTAAGTTTTGAGCTACTCAGACTGGGAGAGACTGCTTGGCAGCACAGCACAGCTCTACTGAGCTTTTTACACTTTCTGTTCAGACTTATTTTTTCGTAATGGGCACCAGTAAATATCTGGTGGTAGTCTCATAATTCTAAATTGCTTTACATTCATGCATTTTTTTTTTAAAGAAAAGCAGTACTTTGTGCTCCAAATCTTATTTCAACAGATGAGTTGCTGTTGAATGGTCTTTGTTCGTTGTTAACTTTATTACACCTGTGTCTAACAGGCTACATATTGAATTGCATTTGCAGAACAGGAAATGTCAATAGTAATATGTATTATACATGTTTAATTTGGCACTGCATTTAGTTATTCTTAACAAGGTTTTTTGACAAATCAAATCGCTTCTTTAGATCCTTGGATTTTGTTTAAAATATCATGTAGAAAAGTTAGTCATAGTTGAAACTCGCATAAAGACTACAGAGCAGTGAAACTACACTTAACAGTGAGTGCAATAACACTTAGCACTTGCACAACATGTTTATTTACAGTGTTTGTTAACATTAACTGACACTATTGTCTAGGATGCTTGTTTAAATGCAATCAAAGCTAATGGTGATTGGAAATTGTTGCTCTTGTGCATCGGATGAAGTTAGTCAATGGCTCAATCTTGATCCTGGTGGCAGCTGAGAGTTCCATAGTGTACTATTTTAGCAAGAAGTGTAAAGGTGGTAGTGTGAGCTCTTGAGTTTTTATGTTTCTAAGGTGCCTATCACTGTCAGAGTTGCAGGTAATTACCTTTCCTTTTGGGTGGTATCCCCAGAGCAGCTGCATGCCAGCAGCACAATGTTGCAAATTCTGGCTCGTGGTACTTTGTTCTACCATAGTTCACTCTCCAGGCTTCTCCTGAAGAAATGTTTTACTATGAGAGATCTCTCAAAAATTACATTTGGCCCTGGAACATGCATTCTCATGTGGATAGTCAACCACTCATTAAATTCAGATAATCAAAGTAGTGTTCTTAATGGTATAGTCCTATTTCAAAAGCTTGGTGTAGGATAAAAGAGGTCATTTGTTGAAGCCTGCTGCTTTGTTAAACCACAAATATTTTGTCCTTGTTTTAGGTCTGTTTGCTTTATTAATCTTTTAGTGAAATACCCTATTGTTCACATATACCCTCTACAGTACAAAGGCTGATGAATAGAGAAGGTGCAGATATTTGTATTTTTTCAGATGCATGTAGAATTAATGTTACTTGAAACTAGAGTGTAATTGAAGCTTGTACATAAGTGACTACATTTGCTTTTGCTTTTTGTCTTTTGCTGTCTGTTTTATCCTGTGATAACTGGGGTGCTTGTCAATAAATGTTGTACAAAAGCTTGTATGTGCATCCTCTAAACATAATCAAACCTTCTAACTCGCCAGTGGATGTTGAATACTGAAGTCAAATTGCTCTTGCTGTTGCACTTCAACATATTCTATTGCAGTTTTTCTACTTGAAATTTTAGTAACTAGAAACTTCAGTGTGCAATTACTTTGGAAAACAAACCAAGCTCTTAACTTGATCTCTTATGTTCTTTCTGTTTACCAAGCAACTGACTTTTTTAAAAAAAAAAAGTTTATGCATCAAGCAAAGTGCTGATTTTAAAAGTGCAATATTATGATGTATTTATTGAATAGTTGTGTTTTAAAAGCCAGTTTGTTTTGTTCTTGGTAAACCATCATGCTTTAAAAATAGCAATTTCTCAACTGACCGTATCCTATATCTGTCCTATGTCTCTTTTCCTTTTATCTTTTGCTGTCTGTAACTGGATGGGGCTGATGGGATCCACAAATCACTTCAGGAGCTGGATGAGGTATTGTTTTTCACATTTTATTCTGCCATGGTGCATCACACATACATCATTGAGCTAAAATGTTCCTGTCTTCATTCTGCTAGTTTATTAAAGTTCACTGTATAGGATGAGGTGTGTCTATCCTACAGTAGAAGGACAAAGCTGCATAGAGAAGACAAACATTTTTTGATAGGCTATTACATTGTTAATAGAGACATGTATAAACTGATCTGGCTTATTGTATCCATGTGAGCTACAGTGACTTTGTATAATAAAGCTATTAACTATTTTTATGCTATGCGTAAATTGTACAAACTTTATTGGTCAGGGAGAAAAAAAAAAAAAAAAACAACAGGTAAACAGATAACAGATTTTCAGGAAGGAATTGCCCAGGAAGGAAGAGGGATTGTTTTTTTAAAAGGAGAAGAGGTGTGGAACCACAAAGCTTACCAGGCCTGTTAAAGGAAAATTAGAAATCTGGGAGAAACTAGGAAGTGAGGTTTTTGTATTATGTCTTTCCCTGAGAAGAAACTGTGAAGTAATTAGGTATGTATCGAGTGGCATCGTTGATGATACCACCTCTTTCTATCTCCAGTAAGGGAAGATTATTTTATCTCTGAAATTGCAAAGCCTGGTTCAACTGGCAACAAGATCTGTATTTGCCTTCAAATTCCATCCATTCCCCTGTCTTTCTCTCAGAGGAGGAAGATGGCTGAAAGCATCTCTGGCCCCAGTGCTAAATGTTGATCTGCGGTCCTGCACACTGTTAGGTTTGTATCATACTCAGAGTTAAATTGGAGACTCATAGGCATGTTTGTTGGAAGGAACCTCTGAAGATCTTCTTTTTCAAGCTCCTGCTCAAAACAGGACTGTTGGTAATCCGTATAAGGTCACCCATGACTTTTCTTAACAAAGTCTTGAAAACTTCCAAGAACGGAGATACCACACTTTCTCTGGACAACCTCACCCAATACTGCGCCATTGGAGAAATAGTGCAATAGTGCAGCTGAGTATTTACATAAGGTTCTAAACCCTACAAAGAAGAATCTTCTGTTCTGTTTAAAGGTCAGTAGCACTAATACTGTCCTTAACAAAAGAATTCTTACCGAGAGTGAACAGAACATTTTACTGGTAATGATATCAAAGCAGATAAATCTATACATATATATTCAAGATCAGACCATGGCTTCTGGTTTCTGCCAAACTGAGGGGTTTTTTTTAAAAAAAAAAAAACAACCAAACAAAAAAAAAAAACAAAACCAAAACAAATACCCTGCACATTGTATTCTTATTCCTTCATAGCTGTCATATTAAGGTTTCTATTCAACCTGCATTCAGAAGTATTATTGGAAAAATAAGATTGATGGATTTATCACAGGTATTTTGTGACTCTAAAAAATACTTTCAATTAGTTATCTGTGTCTTTCCTAGAATCTTTAAATATTTCAACCCTGCAGATTGGATCCTATTCCCAAAAATAGTCTCCAAAAAGTATATCATACCCTGTTGGGACTATGAATGTGCTGCTGTACATCAGTGTGCATCAGTCTCCAATAATATAAACACCTGATTTGTTGCACCTGAGTTATTAAAATTATGACTATTAGTTGTGATAAAGGGTTTCTTTTATTCCTTTCCTATCTCCAGCCCTCCTGTGGATTTGTGGAACGTGGTGTATGAGATGGCTGGCACATTGTCTTATTTACTATTTGGGAATCTCTGGAATTTTCTGGAGAATTATTCCACCCATTTTCCTGAAATTTCTTTGTCTCAGATGATATAGCTGAATCAGCAAGAACGTATCACTGTGATTTAGGGAAGTGTGGATTGGTCACTGCATTGACTATTTTTGTTTATGATCTCTGAACTTCTGTTAAATAAATAATTTAACAATGTTAGTTGTGTGTCAGTTTGCAAGAGTGTTCTTCAGCTGCCTAGTAGGTGAGTGTCTGGCTAAATACAACATTGTTTGAGAACAATCACGGGACACTATTTTTATTTCTTGGAGATACAATAAACATTTTTATTTGGAGATATTCCCAAATGAGATTTTCAGTCTTTCCTGTCCCACTATAAACCATGTTACACTGCTGATTAGGGATCTCTTGGCTGTGAATCACTGTCTAATACAAAATGTACCAACATGAGAATTACTTGAATTCTCACTGCAACACCATATATTTTTCTCCTTGAAAATCTGCTAAGAATTTATCCTAAGAGTAACTTTCATATTTCAGATCCTGTAGGAAGTGGGAGGATGTAGATCATTGGCATATAGGGACAAACCAGGAGATGTGGAGCTTGATCATACCTGCATCATGTGCAAACACGATTTTGAGGTTAATTTTTATGGGAAGGCATACATGTACTTTTTCCTAATGCTCAAGAATTTGGGTCTAATGTGAGTAAAATTAATTTGCTGTCTTTTCTTATCTTCTGTAGCTCGCTGATGATCGTATGGCACTGGTATCAGGAATAAGTTTAGATCCTGAAGCAGCAATTGGAGTAACAAAACGCTTACCTCCCAAATGGGTTGATGGAGCAGATGAAGTAAGTTGTGTGGCAGATCCAACACAGAATTTGATTTCTTCTGTAGGGATTTAGTAGTGTTGTCAGTTAGATTCTCTGTGCTGTAAGTTTTATGATATAAGTAGTGTCAGAAGATTAAAATAAATATTTTCTAAATTGACACCCTTGTTTAGACAAAAATGTGAGGCAAGCTGTGACTTATCTTGAAGGATGTATTGCTAGTGAAATAAAGGGAGATTATCTAGGACCAGAAATTCCAGAAGACTGGGTTTGCATCATCAGTGGAAGCCCAGTATTAACAGTACACTGGCACTATCAGAATAGACATGCTATAGCTGAGCATTTAGACTTGAGACTGCAGGAAGGTTCTAAAGCTCTTAGCAAAGCAAAATTGTTCTCAGTTTGAAACTTAGAAGGAAGGGTAAAAAAAAAAAACAAAAACAAAAACAACATTTTGTTTGAACCCATTGACAGGTCCAATTGAATAGACCCTAAACTGGTGAAAATTAGCAGTTTACTGTTAGAAAACAGGAAGTGTTAGTGTCTTCCAGCAGGAGAATTTTTCCTGCATATGCAGTATTGATGCCTTGCAAGCTATGGAAATAGTTGGACAGATGCAAGGTATTGATTCTGGAGGCATCCAGTTAAAAACCTTTTCTAGTATTTGGAGTGTGAAGCTATTCTTGACTTTCAGAAAATCCTTTTAAAATGTACTCTCAGAACACGTGTTGGCTCATCAGTTTGTGCGTACAAAACCCATCATGCAGAAAGGTGATCAATCTCCTTTTTACTACAATAATAATTATCCTTACAGATTTATTTTTAATGACCTGTTTGAAAGCGTATCATTTAACTTCTGTTAAGTTCAGACTATTCAGTGTTTAACAGAGTTGAAGGTGTGACCTGATTTTTCATTTATATTTTTGGAAGTTAGCTAAACCTTCTCACCATTATATAATGATAAAAATATTATTCCAACTTAATGAAGCATATTTGAAAACAGCAGTCTTGCATAAGATTAGCAAGAGTAGGTTTAAAAAGTTAGAAAACTCAAAGTATATGAGAGTATTCAGTTACTTGGTCAGCTTCTTATGAAGTGTTTTTTTAATCTTTGGTCTGCTTTTTATGTTACATAGATCTCCTCCATTGATTTTGGTCTAGCATTTTTAAGAACCTTTTCTCCTGAAACATTAGTCATTTCCCTTTCTTCATTGTTGGGTTTTCTGTTTTAGATTCAGTATGATATCGCCAGGGTTAAACAGAAGATGAAAGAATTAGCCAGTCTTCATGATAAACACCTAAACAGACCAACACTGGATGACAGCAGTGAAGAAGAACGGGCAATAGAAATAACAACCCAGGAGATCACGCAGGTACAGAGTGCTTTCAAGTCTAAGCCTACAGTTCTACATATCTGCAATGCATCATGATGAGGCAGTGGTTTCCTTTGAGTAAAGCATTTATTTTGTAATCAATATTCAAGTGAGCCAGAAGTCCTGGGCTCTATGCTTGGTACTGTACTCACTGGCTTGGTGAACTTCTCAATGAGTCACTTAACCTCCCTGTTCTTCTATTTACCTGTTTGCTTTTCTGCTTTGAATAGGATTGGGAAACTTAATGAAATCACATTTACACATATCTCAGAGAAATAGACAGACAGGCAGACAGATAGATAGATATTCAAAGGCTTCTGGTCGAAGCAAATTTCTTTGGTCAGAAGTAGTTGTGTTACTCTGCTACCCTATTAGCTTTAAATTGTTTGTTCATCTGTGTTCTGTTTCTGTACCTTTTTAAACATTGCACTGGGCAATAAGAAATTAATTTTAAAAATCTAGAAATCAAAGTATTAGTTTTCCACATGGAACTTTTGCAATGTGGTATTTAAAATGTATGTTGTTGTATGTTTCTTACTAATGGAATTGTTTTCTCAGTTATTTCACAGATGTCAGAGAGCAGTCCAGGTCTTGCAGAGCAGGTCACGTAGTTGTACAGAACAAGAAGCACGTGTTCTCAGGAATGTAGTGTCTTCCTTAGCACAGTCCCTTCAGGACCTATCCACCAACTTTAGGCATGCACAGTCTGACTATCTCAAACGTAAGCATAAGAGATACAGTAATACATGGGCACCTTCTGTGGAAACCACTAATTAAGGTGTGCTTATTTTCTTAGTTGGGAAAACTGAAGCATGGAAGGGTTAATTGATGTACAGAGGACTACCAAAAGTATATTAGAGTGGAGGTTAGAATTTGGGAGTTTCTGGTTCACAGCCCATGTTCAAACTGCATTATTCTACTCCTTTTATATTGCTAAAGGAGAAATTTCATGGTTAAGTATGTCAACAAAACCAGTGTATTTCATCCATCTGCATTTTTAATGTATCATTGCTTCTCAGATTGTGATCTGTTGCACTGGTGAAGCAGCCATTGGTCTTTAGACATGATACCTGCTGTTGATTGATAGTCTGTAATAAATTAAAATTCTGCATCCATAAACAGATCAGAAGCGGAATATCCTCTGTTTAAAACTCAAAAATTATATGCAATTCTATTTTCAGCTAAGTAAGATTAAAATAATTTGGAAGAAACCCACAAAAATTTGATCTTCAAATTTAAGACTGATAAAATAATTCTTCCTCCCTTGTATAAATGACACAGGTGGAACTTAAGATGACAATTCAGACAAGGGATGTTCCTAAGAGCACTTGTTAGAAAATAGCATAGAGTGATCATGCTTTAAAGCTCTTAATTTGCCTAACTTTTAACCTCATGGAATATAATGACTTAAACTCACTGCTTTAATCAAAGTTTTTCAAGTCTGGTTGAATTTGTTACACTTTGTTAAATAGTAAGCCTATGTGACAGTTAAAATTTAGATACTACTATTTATGTCATTTAGTAGCCAGATTTTCATTCTTATGCTTTTCTATCTGGTGCTTCAGACCTTACTCTTACTCTGACTTTAGTGTGTAAATATTATGCTCAAACATAGTTTGTCTTTCACAGGCATGAAGAATAGAGAAGAAAGATCCAAACACTTCTTCGACACTTCAGTCCCACTGATGGATGACGGAGAGGATGATACACTTTATGATAGAGTAAGTTAAGATTTTTTTTACTCAAATTCAAGACAAAGAAACTTTGTATGTATCTTTAATTTTAGTATGAAAATATCAAAATTGTATGCCATGAGCACCAAGCTACATGGAAATGCTATTTCTGCAGATCTGTGATACATTGTCCTAATTAGTATTGCTGTTGTGATGTTAAGATGATTGTGCCATCAGCCTCAGTGTTGCAGTGTGAGGGAACTCACTTTGACTACTGAATTCTCCTTACGTGACTGATAGGGTCTAGAAGATCTGTAAATACAGTGCTGTCCTTTATCATACCACCTTTCTGGGCAGATGCAAGAGTAATTGTTAGAAAACTGTGATTCTGAGTTTGGATGGAAGGTGGCACTCTTTAAAGTGAATTTTAAAGTCTTACTGAAGATTTTCAGTATTACACATTGTTGCAAATAATGGTGTAATGATTTGTTTGTGCACAGGTAAGTTGTTACATTGTAGAGCTGTACCAGACCCACTTCTCTGTTTTACTTTGGGGAGTTTGGGGGTGCTGCATTTCTGAACAATGGTGGGATCTGTTCTATCGTGACCTATCTAATAGTGCTGCAGAATACTCTTAACAGTAATGCTTAGTGTTTTACTGAAAAAGTCAAGGCAGGTTTTCAGCTAATCTTGTGTATAAGAGGTTTTTCAAGTATCTGAATAAGAGTAATGGGGAAAGGATAGTTGTGAATGGCCTTGACAGAGTAAAACAATACAGTCTCTTTAGTATATAAAAAAAAAAAAAAAATCGGAATTGCTGCTCTGCCTTTACATGTGGGCATTATGGAACTTTCTGTAATGTTGATCGATCAGTAAACATTTCATAACTAGTAGACACTTGCATGTATTGGTTTTGTATACCAATAAAAACATTGTTTCAGGACAGACCTTATTTTAAAAAGTTGTTTGTATGTTTGGGCAGGATGCGAGATTTCTATTTTCTCAGCTTGCACTATAGATAGCTGTCCTAGTTATTTTAGTGACCCTGAAACTCTGTTTTTAAAATACAATAATTTTTTTTTCTTGGATATTTGGCTACAAAGGAAATTCCAAAAGAACTGTGGTGATAAGAAATTTTATAATCCTTATAATTATTTCTAGTGTTTTCATGCTATTAATGCGAGTTCAAAATCTAAATTTTTTATTTCAACAGGGTTTTACAGATGACCAGCTAGCATTGGTGGAGCAAAACACATTAATGGTAGAAGAGCGGGAACGAGAAATCCGTCAAATTGTACAGTCAATCTCCGATCTCAATGAAATATTTAGGGACCTGGGAGCAATGATAGTAGAACAGGTACGTTGATGTCACAGTTTTAGCAACAAATAGGAGATTCCACATAGTGTTAAGGTTTTCAGACTCTTCCTATTGTAATGTCCTGTTTTCATGTGCTTCTTGCTTTTCCCAACTTACCTCTTCAGGCTAAAGTTTCCTCTGATTGAAATCTGCCAGAAATGAAAATGAAAAATCAACTGGTTATGAGAGTTAGACTAAAAAAAGCATAGACTGCCGAAGTTCTGTTGGTTATTTCTCCCAGAGATTCAGCCAAAAGCACCTGAACTGGAAGTAGGGTGATTATTAAGGGATGTGATGTGAGAAGGTGGCAGAGCTGACAGTTAGGCATTGAGTAAGGAAGCACTTTAATGAAGTCCCAACTAGTTCTTCTGTAAAAGTTCATAGTTTACACAGTTCATTAGCTGTTTGCTGTGAGCGTTATTAATTACTCTGCTGCTCATAATAGTAATTGCTTTATGAAGTTCATTTAGGTTCACTTTGGTGTTCATTCCCTCCATTTCATTTAGGGAACAGTTCTAGATAGAATTGACTACAATGTTGAACAGTCATGTATGAAAACTGAAGAGGGGCTAAAACAACTACACAAGGTAAGCTGACAGAATAGTTAAGTTGCTTTGCATATCTGATAATATTTTCTAATTTAATAGCCATTAAGTTATTCAGCCATTTTTCAATTGGACACTGTGCGTTCTAGAAGTGATTGCTGTACAGTATAAAATGTTCAACTGTACCATAGTAGGAACTTTCCATATAACTTCTGTTAATGTCATGCTTGATGCCTAGTGTTAATTTCTTAAATAACTTTCTGGGCATCCAAGCAATGTGCTTTGATCTTTATATTGCTGACCTGGTGGGACCTATCTGTAATTCCTTCTCTGTTTGGAGAGTCCAGCACCTGTGAAATAGGACTGGTTATTGGGTACCTCACTGTGCATTTCAGTCAGTTGATTTTTCCTAGTTTGAAAACATTATCTCAATAGTGTGAGCAGCAAGAATAACTGAATGTTTTCTCTTACCATCTAACATTTGTTAGAAGTTAGGTCTAACCTTATGCTTTTAATGTGAAGCTTTTACTATGAACATCTTGAAAAGTTTGAATTGGCAGCAGAACACAGTTTTGTGGTTGTTTTGTTGGCTTTTTTTATTTTGTTTTGATTTTAAGCTAAGTTTTGACTTGTCAGCTCAGTTCAGTCCTTACATCACTGGAAGTAAAGTAGAATGAGAGATTTGTGCAAAAGACTCCTAAATAAAACATTCTGTTTAGGAGCTGTGGACATCTTATTACTACACATTCAACTTCTTCATCTTATGGTAGACTTCGAATATACGGATATCAAAAAAGTTACGTTTGAGGAAAAGCAAAATAAATTGGTTATAGGTTTATTCTTGTTATACATAAAAGTAAATAGGAGATTACTAAAATAAGGCATTGACCATAGGTGAACAAGGCTTAAAGTAGTTGCAAGCAATTTGAACAAACTGAATTGGAAATAAATGGATCAGTTGTAATCAATGCTATTTCTAGTCTAGTAGTAGTTAACAAATTGTCAGCAAACCCCTGTTTGGATTGCTGACTAGAATATGGATTTTTGATGCAATATATACCTGTTTTCAGTACAGCACCAGAATTTTTCCACTTACCATGGGAGACATACACACAGGTTGGAATAGTAATATCAAACACAGATTCCTTGCTGTTTCTAATACTGTTGGTAGCTTTATTCTGATTTAATATCCTTAATGTCAATTTTATTTTCTGTTTGAATTGGCATAATTACAAACTACTGAGATGGCACTTTCACCGAAATTGCATAAATTCATTGCAGAAGTCTGGTGATAGGAATCACTAGTTAGCAATTCCTGCTTCCCATGAAAATTGGAAGCAGTTGTGATACTTTGTCAGCCTTTGATACTTAAAGCCTAATTAAGTAAATAATCATAGTGGTTGCATGCTACAGTTTCAGGTCAAAAACTCCTCTTTAACAGATCTGAAACTGAATAATTACTTTCCAGGGATTATAAAGGAGAATAATTAATATATTTTTTCCTTTAAATCTTGAAGGTTTATTAATTTAAAAAATAATTAAATGCAAGTTTTGTTTTGTTTAGCTTCTATTAGCAGACTTTCATTTGTCTTTTGGAGAGTTTTCTCCACGTTGCATCCTTTTAATTCCCCTGGGAAAGAGAGGAAAGGGATGAGAAAATGTGGTTAGAAGAAAGAAGGAATGAAGCAGAAAACTGAGAACCAAATCAAAAAGAAAGATTTCAGTTCTAATTGAAATTAAATGAAAATGCACAGCCAAATCAGGTACAACAAAAATGCCTATTAAAAAATGAATTTTTGTTGTGAATTTTAATGTCCATCAAATATAATACAGGCATCTTATATCAGCAAAATTAGTTAAAACATTTTACCAACTTTTACTGTTCAGACTATCACACACCCAGTTGCCTGATCTTGTTTCCATGGTCTTCGTAGCTAAGTGTTCTTCCAAATGAAGTATCATTCTTCCATGTAGCTCATAGGGCCCGCTCAGGGACTGCTGAAAGGAAGTCACAGTAAGGTGACTTAACTGATACGAGGATGCATTCTTCTTTATCAAGTCTGCTTTTTAACACTGATAAATGTGACTTTGGTGTACGCTTACCCTCACTGAAGTTTGGTGCAGATCAGAGTTGTTTTGTGAGAGTTGCTTGCAATGTAAGTTGTATGAAATGTCAAGTTACCAAGGAACAACTGAGACACATGTACTTCACTTAGACTAAACAGGAGTCTGCACTTCATAGCTTTGCCTAATTTTAAACATTCATTCTTTCTTTTCTGTTTCTATAGGCAGAGCAATATCAAAAGAAGAATCGGAAGATGCTTGTTATTTTAATTTTGTTTGTTATAGTAATTGTCCTTATTGTCGTTCTTATTGGTGTAAAGTCACACTAGGTTTCACTACATTTTCTTATTTTTGGAGTTTATGTGAACTATTTTCCCCAATGTGAATGGATGGACCTGCACTCCAGAAAGCTGCCTTTGAATGTATAAGCCCTTGTGGTACAAAGTCTGTGCAATGTTTCTGTAGAATTCTTCAAAGTACAAGTTTGGTGATCTGTGAGATGTTTGTAAGGATTATATGGAAAATGTCAGGAAATTTGCTCCCACACAAATAATTTGGCACTCTGTGTAGAAGTATTTGGAAACACAGTACTTAATTACAAAATTGAAGTTTACGAGTGAGTACAGTAATTAGTATGTTACTGTGAGCAAAAATGTGTTGTATTCTGTATTCTTATGTCACAATTGTTACAGGCCTCAAATTTAAACCATGGTACTGAGTCATGGGACTACATAGCAAAAATTGGCCTAGATGTAAAATATGTTGATGCACAAAAATGTTTGACTTCATCACCTTTCTTCTAGGCTCAAACTTCAAAGAACTGGATAGACAGCTAAAAAAGAAAGCTTTTAGCAACTGGAATGTAATCCAACCCCTGTGATCTTAATTTAGATACTGCACCATTACTAAGAATCAGAGTAGTACTTGATCTTGTAAATAACAAGATTTAATCACTGGCATAATTTAACACATTTAGTTAATTAAAAATTTTTCTGAGCTTAAGTAATCATGGGAATGTTTTTCCTCACCAGAATGATCGTATATATTTTTTCATGTACGATTTCTTTAAAGTACAGACATTCATGAAAGCAGTGAAGTTGAACCTAAAAAATAGAGATTCTCCTTTTGTCTTTCTATTCCTTCTGACCTACTGTAGTGGATCTCAGATGCTTCATACGTTGATTGTTGTAAAAGATGTTTATTTTACAGTGTATCTGTTCATATGTATTATGTTTTTTGTATAAGTGACTTCACTACAGTATACGTTACATCCATTTTCCCTGACAGAAAATTATTTCTTTCAAATACCTGCCTGGAAGAGGACGTGTTTATTGACTTTTACTGACTGTGAGACATGTCGTGCAAGTGACACATTACTAGGCCTTCAGTAGAGAATTTGGGGGTTTCTTCACTTTTTTTTCAGTAGCAAACTTTGCTGTAGGCCATAAAAGAGAAATTAGGGCAAAATTTAAGTAATAGAATATGCGTGATTTAATTCTGGACTGAAGTGGTGTGCAATTGTGGAGGCCTTGCCTTAATATTTTTAATACCGCTTTTCTGTATGGATTTTTTCCCTAAAAGGGACTGTAACTTCATTTTCTGACTGGTACAGTGCTCCCCATAAACTTGCAGAGATGTTCTGTTCAAAGCCCCTGAAATGCAGTTTCATAATCCTGTGATATTAATGTTGCATATGTTGCCTGCCCTGAATTTCTTTACTGTGTACTAAGGAGGACTTAAGATGTGGCTTTAAACTGACTTGGTGCAGGAATGGACCTGAAAGCAAAGACTACAAATATGTGAAAGCCTTGGCTTTTTGTGTGGCTTATTGTGAAAATCTTTGTACCACTCTTGTTACCTCTAGACAAAGGGGATATTGAACTTCCAAAACTGCCAGTTCAAACCCTTGATTAAATTCATAAAGTAACTTGGTAAAAGAATGATGCCTGTAGCTGGGTGTGCAGCTCCCTGTTCTGGTAATAGAGTTTTTCAATGATTGTGAGTAAAACTACTGTCTCCCTAGTGTGCTGTCTACATCGGTTGGTGTGAAGCAGCATATTGCTATAATTTAATATACTGTATTTGCAACTTTCTCTAACATGAGATCATGTTATTTATTTCTGTCTTGACTGGTGCTTTTGATATTTTATCATGGCTAATGAATTCAAAGAAGTAATAAAACACTTCCAACCTAATTGGGCAAATATTAATTTTTTTTTTTAATTATAAACTGAAACTGTGTGTGATGTTAATGCGCCTCTATATAGTCTTCATAATTAAATGAAAACAGCAGTGACATTAAATATCTTGGGGGGAAAAAAAAAAAAAGCAAACCCAAACTTTCTGTAGCACAATGTAACTTGCATTCTCAAGAGTTAGTTCCCATGAATTACGCCCATGGTCTTAACTCCAAAGAAGTAACTGGCTACATCTTTTCTATCCAAATTCTGTGAGAGGAAATGCATTTTTAATATGCATCAGACAGGAGGTTAAATTCAGCTGTCAAGTGTCCTGTGTGACTTGAGCTAGAATTTATTGAAGTAAGTTATATTGAGGAAAAAAAAAAAAAACATAACAGATTCTAAATCACTGCAGGTGTCTAGCTTACTATGCGTCAGTCTGAATAGCTACCAGCAACTAAATCAAACCCTTATGCTGTGCTTTGTAAGAATATCTCCACATGGCATGTTACAGAAGGGGTACTATCTGTGCCATGGGGCAGTGAAAGCTCAAAAAGGCCACTGCAACGGTGGAGTCGCTTGGCTTCTCTAGTGGCTGCTGCCTACTCAGGTGTTACAGAAGCAAGAGCTGCCTCAACCTACTGACCATGCTTCTGTCCAGCCCTGTAATCGTCTCTGTACGCCGCTGCAGAGAAAGCTGGTACACTCTGCAGATTGTGGCCTCTTCATCGTTGCTGGATTCTTCTCGGCTTGTATTGAACCTCTGATTCCTTACAGAGGAACAGAACAGCATTGCTAGAGCATCTCCCAAGAATCTGTGGCTTCTTGCCTGGTGGGAATGGCCTAAAAAGCTATTGGCTTATGCAGAATTTCTCTATTAAAATGCATGCAAGCGTGCAAAAATGAGCTGCTATTTCTTGTTAACAGAAGTTAATTCTAGTGAAAATGACAGTATTATAAGCACTGTAATAGCAAATTTATTTTTACTGCAGGTTGCCTCTAGAAACTGCAAAGTAAAATGGAAGAATTGGTTTCTTGCTTGGTGATTTTTGGAAAGTTCTAAAAATTTGAATGAATACAATTGATGCAGTGTTCACTGAGGCTGCCTGGATTGTATTGATTTAAGGTTTGCTTTTATGAAACACTAAACGCAAAGAAGTCTTCTCTCTGCATAAATCCTTGGAAAGCTTGCTTTTGGTACAGCCTTCCGAAATGTGAGTTCTTGGATAAGTGACTGAAACTGATTTTGTTGGAAAAAAATGCCTAGTTCTTATCTTAAAAAAAAAAACAAAACAAAACAACAACAAACCACAATCCCCTCCTCCGAAACAAACCCCAAACCCAATAGCCTTCCTAGATAAAATTCATTAAAACAGGGAATTCATTATGATTTTGCATATTAATTATGATGGATTATTTAAGATTATGTTTGAGTGGCTTAATTCCATAAATATCGGTAGAGGATTGATAATTGGAGCGGCCATGGAAGATTGGTCCATGCTGCAATTTCCACTGTGGCTCATACGAGTAGAAATGTTTGCAGCTACTGTTAGCTGAACATACGTAGGAAGCTTCTGTAGTGTACATACAATTGATTTTTCTCACTGTCTGTGACCTTGACTAGGATTCTCCTCTGCTGTCCTTAAAGATAATGATGGAAGGGTCGAGGGTTAGATGAGTATTTCCTACTGCTTTATTTACCTTTCAGATAATGTGGATTTGAGGACAGCGCTGTATGCTATTCTTGCAGTAGCAGGAACAGCAGAATTTGTACACAATGACTAGGACCTTGCTGCCTGCTTGAACCTTTGGAATGTCTCAATCCTAAAATAACTGCTGTGTGTTATTGTCTTTCATATCTCCCATGCTGTCCATATGTGTTGGAATATTAGTGAACCCCTAAGCAGTTTATGTTCTGTGGCTCAGTGAAGAGACTCATAGAAGTTGGAGCCTGTTTATTCAGTTATCCTGTCCAGTCTGTGAGGACGCATGACCAACCTCTACAACAGATTTTCCTAGATCTTTTATTCAGGGTAATTTTAAATGTATCAGGCAATAAAGTTTCTACAGTGTCCCTTCGGAGACTAAGACCTTACTCTAAGGAAGTTTTTTTCAGGAATACAGCTTTTTTTTTTTATTATTTTTAGATATTTTCATTATATCCATCAGCATTCACTTTTCCAGTGTAAGTGGAAGTGCACTCTGATGCTTAGACTTTCCTAGCTGCAGATTAATGAGTATCAGTTCCTTACTGACTTAGCATTAATAGGAGCGGCTTGGCAGATATAAAAAGATGAGGATAAATATCCTAATATATATTTAAAACATTTAAATTTACTATTAAAGCTGTCATTTGGACAACATTGTTTCTGTTTAGTGAATCACAGTGTCATATCTCAGAGCCTGTTTTGGCTTTTTCTTCTGTTTCTGGAATATGTTTTAGACGTATGTTTTATCTGATACCTAACTTCATGAGGAAACAAGGAATCTGGCTTTTTCCATTTTTATCCCTATGTAACTTCACACTCTAAACATAAAGCATTTCCATCTTAAAATGGTATCATGGAGGGGCAGTATGGACTTTCAGCTTGATACAGTTGCCCATCCGTTGTACACGAAGGTAGCTGCCTTAGCACCAATGGTTTTTCCATCTGTAGAAACGCAGTTGAACTCAGAGGACCTCACACCTTGCACGGCAGTGTTACCGTGTGGGTTTGGTTTTTGGGGTTGTTTTTTTTTTTTTTTTTTCCTCCATTTTCCTCTATCACCCTTGAAACTGTAAAACCCCTGATCTACTCATGAGTTTTCCGAAACCCAGGTCCAACACAAAGGCCCGGCGCAGGGCTTTTTACCAGCTCCGAGCTCCCGCGGCGCGCACCGCCGTCACGCACACCGTTGTGTGTGGGGTGGGGAGAAAAACCCCGACGCGCCCGTTCCGCACATCGCGGCTGGGTGCGGAGCCCGAGCGGCGGCTGCGAGGGGCCGCGGCGGGGCCGGTGCGAAGGGGTCGGGGAGGCCCCCGCGGGCCGGGCCGGTTCCCTCCCTCCTCGCCCTCCGGCCGCATCCGGGTCCCCCCGCCCGGCGCCCTGCCCGCCTGCCGTGCCCGGCGCGGCCGCCTGAGGCCGCCCGCGCCGCCGTGGGGCCCGCCCCGCGGAGCCGGCGCCGGGGCGGAGCCGGGCCGGGCCGAGCCGAGCCGGGCCGGGGATCGGAAAGATGGCGAACGTGCAGCTGGAGTTCCAGGCCAGCGCCGGCGAGGCGGATCCGCAGAACCGCCCGCTGCTCGTCTTGGGGCAGCTCCACAACCTCCACCGCCTGCCCTGGGCGCAGCTGCGGGGCAAGCTGCAGCCGCGGGTCACCGAGGAGGTGAGGGCCGGGCCGCGGCGGGAGCGCGGTATCCCCGTCCCGTCTCCCCACCCCGCCTGAGGAGCGCGGCCCCCGCTCCGGCTCCGCCATCACCGGTTCCCCCCCCCCCCCCCTCCCCGAGGCCGCGGCTCCCCGCCCCGGCCCCCCGCGGCCTCGTGGTGCGGGGGAGGCGGGGACTCGCCCGGCCTGCGGCTGCCCGCTGGCGCCGGGGCCTGCTGCGGGGGGGGGGCGGCCCCCGGGGAGGGACAGGAGCCTACCGGGCCCGCGGCGGGGAACGTGGCCTTCAGCCCCAGAGCCGGAGGGTTCTACGCAGAGAAACACACACCCCCCCCCCCCCCCCCCCCCCCCCCCCCTCCTCGGAGCGGCCCTTAACGGAAAAATAAAGGGGAAATGAGCCGGGCTCGGGGGCGGCGGGCAGCCTGTTGCCGCGGGGGGGGGAGACGCCGCTGCCCTGGGGTGTGCGGGCCTGCTTGGTGGTGGCTCGTAGTGAAACGATGAACGCTTTGCACCGCGGCTTCTACGCAGCCAGATGCTCGGCAGGTTTTTTTGCAGGGCTCCCGAGGCTCTTACGACAACGCTTAGCCTTTTTGTTTAGTCTGGGGTTTTTTTGTTTGTTTGTTTGGGGTTTTTTTTGTTTGTTTGTTTGTTTGGGGTTTTTTTTGTTTTGTTTTTAATCACATTATCGTGTCTAACAGTAACTCGGGACTAGGAAATCAATCTGTGTATTTATCAGTAGCAAAACTGTCTCAACTTAGGCTCTGAAGCATCCTTTGCCCCAAATGGTGTGGTTTTAAATTTTAATTCATATGCCTTAAGAGATGCTTGTAATGGAAAGTACATTTGTATTTTCTACTTAATAAACAAGTTTGTTGTATTTCCTGTTTCTTTTCACTCTAGAGGTTATTGTATTTAAAAGTGCGTGCATAATTTATTCATTTTCAACACCTAAAATCCTGCAATTAAAGAGTGCCTAAATGTGGTGGAAATGAGATGGAAAGAAAAGTCTGATACACTTATTTGTCTTTGAACTCTTCTCCCCAGATATGGCAATCTGCTTTAAGCACTCTGAATCCAAACCCCACCGACAGCTGTCCTCTCTACCTGAATTACGCCACTGTGGCCGCTTTGCCTTCCAGGGTCAGCCGGCACAATAGCCCGTCTGCAGCTCAGTTCATCACCCGCCTGGTTAGAAATTGCCTTCCAGGAGGTGTCAACAGATGCATTGTTGTAAGTGGCTATTTAAAAAGCCTTCTGGTGAAATGTCTAGTCAAGTATTTTCTCGACTTTTCAGGATTTTAGCTGTATCCAAGGAGACTGGAGGTGGGCAAGTTTTACTGATATAATTATAGTGACATTTATAAATGGTTTTGCTGTGATGTGTAAACAAGACCTAACTATAATAGCTTATGCATGCTCAAGCAGTTGGAGGGAGTTAAGGCTGAATATATATGGAATGTCTTCAACTAGGAATGTCCATACAAAGGGAACCAGTAGTGGCTTTTTTCGGACTAGGACTTCTGACATTAGAACGTGCTTTAGAAGACTGACGTAGCCTGCATGCAGGGTGCTATCTCTTTATTGCATAACCCATTTAAGGTGCCTTGTTTGTGTTATTCAGTGAGTTTTAAAAGTCTTAATGCAAAGTAATGCTCCAATGTGAGTCCTTTGCAGGACAAGCTCTTGGACTACTTTGGTCATCTTCTGTATGAGCCTGATGAATTTGTTTTTGTGGCTTCTCCAGATTAATTCAGATTTCTAGGTCGCTAGAGGAGATTCACGTAGTCAGTGTCAGTAACAAAATCTAATTATACTCTTCACTCGGAAGATTTATTTGCAAGAGTCATAACTCTACTTAATTTTTTCTCCTTACAGTTAACTTTGAAAATGTTTAGCTGGAACTGCTTTCCATTGTTAATTTCTGTAAAAAACTTCAGAAAAATATTCTACATGTTAAAAAGCTTTCAGGTTATTAGCCACATTCTCATATAATTTCTCTCTTTGATTCATTTGTTTTGGACACATAGTGAGGATTCCCATGCTTTTTTTCTGTCTTGATCTGTAGGCTAACCCATGTTAATTGCACTAGTATAATTAAAGCAGTCCAGCTCCCTTATAAGGATGTACTAATTCCCACACAGTCAAGTCCAGCGGTGTAATTCATTTCCCTGTGGGAAATGAACTGAACCAGTTCACTGTGGTAGTGTTCATACTGTTACTCCATTCATGCAAAACATGATGTATGAGTGTGTCTTGATTCAGACATCAGTTTTCATCCCCCCTTCTTTTTTTTTTTTTTTTTTTCCCCTCCTCACCAATAATATCACAGGTAACAGATCCTTTTAAATGTAGCCTTCCACGTCCCTAATGTTGTCTGACTTGTTTGTCCTCTGGTTGGTGTTTCAGATGGTCTGTGAGCGGTCTGAAGTCTTCGCTTCTGCTTGTGCATTGGCCAGGGCTTTCCCGTTGTTCACACATCGGTCCAGTGCATCAAGACGCACAGAGAAGAAAACTGTAACTGTAGAGTTTTTCCTGGTTGGGCA